CTGTGGCGTCAAGCGCTTGAAGGAGGTGGGCTGTAGAACCGCTACAAATCTTTGACATGGAATTCTTTGATGCTCCTTCGGGGCGCAAAAGGTAGTACGGCTGGAGAAAGCATTGAGAGTATACTTTCCTGAAAAGCAAATACAGGGCGGAGAAACAGTAGGTGCCCTGACTCAGAAAATGTCATCCAAACTTCTGGAATGTGATTTGGATTTGAACTAATTACTTTAACGGGGTTGTGATATCTATTAATATATAACATAACCTCCAAATCTTTCAGTTACGACAAGACGCCAGCTTTTGAACGAGTTTCTTACTGACCACCCACGAAAAGTATATTCGGTAAAAAATGGCTACTTAAGTATTATGCACTTTCTCATTGAATTTTGTCGCCCTTATGAATTAGAATGTATTTTATAGAAAACATGCATAAGAATATTCATTTTTAAGCTCATTTGGGGGCAAATTACGCCTCTTCAAAGTTAGGACTTGAAAAAAGTTTTTATCGTTGCCGAATACTTGTGAACAGCAGCGGCCGTTACACTTGAATTCAAGATTTTCAATCTGCATGAAACATGCACTTTTTTTCTAAAGAAAAGTGCCTATTTCCATACGGTTTGAGGGAGAGATAACATCTTTCTCATAAAATTTTGTAATGTATGTGGATACTGTTGTACACTTTATAAACGACATTCATAAACTGATGGATACAATACAATATGAATGATCCAGTTGACCAAATTGTGAACAGTTCAGTGGGATTCGGGCCCACAAAGCAGGGAAGGCTTTTGTACAGCCAACGTTTTACCAAGGCTTTTGTACAGCCAACGTTTTACCAATTGAGCTATGAAGACACGCCGAGAGCGGTGAATTTTATCAAAGTTGGGCCGATTTACCCGCACAACATACTGCTCGTATGGAATCCACCATTATGGATACAGCAAGGTGACTGCCCAGGCAGGATTTCCGTGCAATCATCTAGAATCCACCAGAATGACTCCTAGGCTCGCTTAATTATTAGGAGGGGTTGACATATTTGAATAGTTTAGTTTACCTAATTGTGGCTGTTGGCTATACAAAAGCCTTCCCTGCTATGTGGGTTCCAATCCTACCGAGGCCAGGAATTTTTCACAATTAGCTCAACTGAATTATTAAAATCTGCCAAACCCCGTAATAATGATAATATGAATGAACATTTCCCGGCCGTAATAAGCCTCTTGATTGGAAAATTTTTCCAAACTGAAAGATATCCTTTCTCCAAGTATAAATTTTGAAGATAGCATAATTCGCCACCAAACAAGAACAGGAAAAAATATGTTTGAATTTATAAGGGTATTACAAATTAATTATACAATTGTGTACTGTTTTAGTGGCCATCTTTTAAGGAATACATCTTCTGTATGCGGTCAGAAAGAAGCTCATTTAAAAGATAAAATCCTTGGGTGACTGAAATATCTTGAAAGTAGGCTGCAGGATGGTCAATACTGCAACTCTATCGAAGGAATTTGTTCGAATCCAAAACCCACTTGCGAATTTCTGTTGAGCTTTTATGGAATCTTCTGCAGGTGCCTACAAAGTTGCTTCACTGGAAACAGCATACGGATGAGCATGAAACCTTACCTCATTGGAATCGATAAACTTGTAGGGCTCTGAGTAGTATTTGTACTATGATCACTACAATCATCAGGTCAAAATCACAGGTTGGAGATGAAAGGCAAGAGTCAATCTGAAGGAGTGCTTTATTGTACACAGAAACCAAATTGCTGTCTCAGGCGACAGTAGCCACTGGCGAAGCCAGGGCTGGTGTTGCCTGCGTCCAACCAGACCTGAGAGAGCGTGGGATAGTGGTAGCAGCTGCTTAAGTAGGATTGCAGAGCAGGTTCAAGTGGTTTGTCATTGGTGGAGTGGATGACCTTGAGACTGCTGGGCTTAAGCAAGGACGCCGGACAAAGCAATTCTGGGCGTCGGCTACACACTAGAGCCTTGTCTATGTGACCTAACCGCCAGTACTCGAGGATTTGCATATTTTTCCGAATGTGCTGGGGTACTCGACATGTTATATTCGGTCATTATGCATCAGGCAATTTCCGCTGAAGTAAAACTTCCCGGTAACTAGCACTTCTGAGATTTTCACTGGCTGAGTTCCGCGTTGTTTGCTTAAGGTTCATAGATCTTCTATAGTTGGAGAGTTGTAGTTCGATTTTTAAACCAATTCGTAGACCATACTCACCTGATGAAGCGTCCAGTTTTATGTCCCACCGTCTACGACTAAGGCCTCTGATCACACGCCTCTGCGCACAACCCCAAATGACTTGTCACAGTCGTCTAGAATAGGAAAATATAGACGGTATTTTCTTCTTCGTCTTCTTCTTCTTCTTCTTCAATGTCCAAATGAATTATGAACATTAGGATAACAACAAGCCTATGATGGAAGGGCGTTGTAATTTCTCTCTTTCCCTCTCTTCCTCTGCGTTACTGGCGGTTTTGGGGTGCGAACGAAGAGAGTCTCCGTGATGAGAAAAGAGTGAGGCTTATGGAGTAGGGTTCTCTTGGGGAAAAAATGACCGGTTTTAAAAAATCATATCTGTTTAATTCTCCTTTTGAGTACGAAATGAGCTTTATTTAGCCTTAATTTTTTTATTACAATGCGAAATCATTCTGGATGGGCTGAACCGTAGTTCCTCTTGTTTTTAACTGATTTAAAGTTATATCCTACAGCAGCTTCAAAAAGCTGCAACTTTTGTCCTTCTGTGCCGTTGCATTGTACCGCTGCGATTTCGGTGTGTTCTGTAAACTACGAATTCTGCTATCTTATAAATTGAGAGCTTCCAAACACAACACATAATTTAGAAGACCGCTGGGAAAGCTATACTAAAGAAAAGATAAACCCAGGAGTCTTGCCATAGAAATATGGAAAATTAGACAGTGGAGAATCCTCAGACCTTCCTAAATCAGAGGTTTAACTCGAGGGTTGAGACAAATACAGTGAAAGGATAACAGTTGGCGCCAAAAAGTCACGAAATATAACAAAGAGAAAAGCGATCACCCAACCTAAAAGTGGATTCCAAGCCAGTATCACGAGCTTTCTTCCTCGCCGCCTTCGCTTCATGTTCCCTGCAGTTCATTATGCTATCAAATGTTTTTGCTCATCACTGACTGGTGAGCAGATTTCGCCCCATTGCCAGTCACTTTCCCTGTCGAATGCATCGCAGAGTTTTGATTGGCTAACGGCGCCACGGTGTGTTGCCTGGCTTTCGGCGCGCGCGCGCTTTGTCTCTTACGCAGCTATGATTGGCGCAGATCCGGTCCACCCAAGTGCAGTCTGGTAGCTTGCACAAAAGTCGCGTAGTCATGTCCATCGTTCACCTGTGGATTGATTATGTAGACCGAACTGTCAGCAGCTATCTGTGATCCATGTTCTGTTAAACGAGGCAGCCTCTTTCTCCTTACAAAGCTTAACCTCGAGGAGAAGCACTCCGACATGAGGACGCTGCAGCAGACGCTGGAGGAGGAGAAGAAGAAACGGGCGACCAAATCGAGCGGACTGCACAGTGAACTCGAGGCAGAGTACGAGCAACTTCTCTCCCAGATAGCCAATCTCCGGTGAGTATAATTTTACGCTTCTTGTCTCTGAAAGGTGACCTTAGGCTGACAGTGCTCGCGGGCGCGCTGATGCAGGCAATGTTCATAAAGTCTATGGAAGTACTGTTCCGCGAAAGTCAATGGGATAAATTTATTGGAGGGTGATAAGCCTTAACTGTGACTACCTCAGCTTTAAAACTGTTGCAGAGCTTTGGGGCTACATCGTGTTTCATTTGACCAAATTGTGAAAAACTCTGTGGCCTCGATGGGATTTGAACACACGCCAACAAGAGGAAAGTTTTAATACAGCTAATGCTCTGGCCAACTGAACCATGAGGCTGCAACCGGGAGCCGTGAGTTTAATCACATTCGAATCACTGTACCGTCCAGCTTACTTCAACTTATAGAATCCGCCAATTTCGATACAGAATTTGGTCAACTCTGCCAACCTCCCTCCCCCACTAATAAGGTGTGCCTGGTAGTCACATGGTAATTGAAGATTGATTGCTTAGGATACCCTGCTTGGGCAGTCGGCCTACTATAGCAGAATTGGTGGATTCCATAAGCTGTTGGGCGGGTAAATTGGCCCAAATGTGATTAACCTCATGGCTCCCAGTTGCGGCTTTGTAGTTCGGTTGGCTAGAACGTTGGCTGTCCTCAATCTTTTCCCTTGCTAATCCCAACGAGGGTGCCGAGTTTATAACAACTGGGTCAAATGGATGGTTATAAAGCCCACGGAAGTACCGTTCCTTGGAGGTCAATCGGATAATTTTATTGGAGGGCGATTAGACTTACTCATGACTACTGCACACTTCTCCTCGAAATTTTTACCTAGCTTGTTGCATTTGGTTATCGGCCCCGAAGATGATGCATTCGACAGAACTCCCATCATATCCACTTCCTTGGACTGCAGATGTTCAACTACCGTCACACTGTATACCCGATAAGTGATACCAACTCATCTCATTACTTGGTAGCAGCGTGCGCCATGATGAGGATTTACTTCTACTTATAAGTACGTATATTTAAAAGAAAAGAATTCATTGCCTAATCTATTCATATCTCAGTATTTTTCTCAAAAGCTCTCTGGCCAATATTGAATGATAAGGGCGAGATGGTTTTGAGGGGCTGCCGCGTTCATGAGTTACATTGCTGGTTGGGGACTGATTTCAGAAGTGTGGTGTTTATATTTTATTCTGGAAATCCATTTTGGCAAAACTGCGTTTTCTAATTTTCATAACCGGGCAATTACAATAATATAAAGCTTAAGCATCCAATCAAGAGTAAGTAAGGGGGAGAGAGGTGTTCAGACCAAGAGGGCTACTAAATCCCACATAAATACTTTGGAGACAAAATTGATAAAATTTATAGTGTTTTGATCATCGCTTAGGGAGAAGTGGAGTTACGCCCTCTCTAGAACAGTGAGGACAGCGCTAGCGTTCCGTAGAATTGTTATTCAAATGGCCCTTTGAGCAGTGAATCATAGCACGGCTTTCAGGCGTTTAACTTTGAGACTTGCGGTCTGGCGCAGCTGGATTTTTGAGGGCAAGGTCTTGATCGCGTGGTTGCCCCGAAAATGCATAGGCCCGCTTCACATCTGGGGTTGTTTACTTTGAGTAATCTCTGTTAACGGCGGATTTCTGCAGTTATATCATGATAGGGTGGGGGTGTAGCTAGTAATCGTGGTATTCCCTCGTCTCACTCATGCGGGTTCCAGCCTGTTGGGAGCGTTGGGTCTGGCGAGCGAGGAAGAGGCGGGAAGAGGGGGAGGGAGGGGTGTTCTCACGGTCGACATGCGTCGTTGCAGATGACGTCTGTTCTGGCGGCACGGTATTCACTGGTGTGGTTTGCCAGAGTAGGCAGACTGCGGCTCCCCCTACCCCGAGAACCATTTAAACACTACACTA